AAGGGCCAGGGGACGTACGTAGCCCACTATAGCCAGGCCTCAAGGTCTAAAGGGCTAGGGGACGTACGTAGACCGTCATAGCCAGACCTCAAGGTCCAAGGGCTAGGGGACGCACGTAGCCCGTCATAGCCAGGCCTCAGGGTCCAAGGACCTGGGGATGGACGTCTTGTGGGCCATACTTAAAGGCCCAGGATGCCATCAAAGAGTTGAGTCCAATTTAGGGGACGGACGTCCCCCGCGTTATGGCGGGAAACCAAGATCTTGGCGGGAAGCGCATTTAATGCTGAAGATTTGGTAGTTGGAATCATGTCGCCCACAGCCGGCCACGTCAGCCCCCCAACCACCAGGGGGTACTATAAATAGTCGCATTTATTTCATTGTAAGGGGTTCGCACATCGTTACTCTAGAGTTGTAATAGCGTCAGCAGTACGTAGCATATTTTCAGTACGATCGGCTTTTTCGGCTTGTAATCATAATATTGAAGGAAACAGTCATTTAATCCATCCCCGCTGATTTAGTGAGTTCATTTGCCTTCTACCCATTCGAAACCCCCAGGTTACGTGTTGGGCCTGCAGGTTGAGGGGAATAAACCTCAACATTTCCTATCCCTTTCTGGCTCTTACGTCGTCCAGGACATTTTGTTAGCCGTTCGGTATGTTTCTGCGACCTCCGAGGTAGTCCATTTAGCTTTCGCCACGTGTCCCTCCTGGGTTTGTTTCTAGGACGGTGATCCCTCTATAACAATATGGAGAAGCTGGTACCTCATCATTTTTTGCTGCTTCTTCAACCCTTGCATCATTGCTAGCTTTCTTTCTCTAGAAATTCTCTAGGCTTCTCTTCTTCGAGGTATTTACAACCCCCTTTTTCCCTCTTATGTCCAGTTACTTTTATTCAGACGAGGAAGATATGGTTTTGATCCATCATTCTTCAGGGAGAAAAGCCGGCATGAGCGGTCAGGCAGCCCATTCTCCCTCCTAGTCTTCGGAATCTCTCACTAATTCCCCTGTACCACCGGAGGCCGAACAGTCCCTCCCTGATGATGGATGTCTCGAAGGATAGGACCTTCAAAAATACAAGCATGGAATGCCCGAGCAGCCTCCACGCATTCCTCTAAACTTCTATTGCATCCGGAAGCAACGCTAGCGTCTTCCAGCGGATGCCGATCGAGAGTTGGCCTAACTTTTACCGCCACCTAAGCAATTTTACAGTGGCTTCATTCGACACCCAATGAGGCACCGATCGGGGCATGTGTTGGTGCATCTTGACGCTTTGGTCGCCGGTCTTCGCTTTCCTTTGCACCCGTTCGTCATAGACTTCCTACGCCGGCTCTCGGTACTTCCGGCTCAGTTCGTTCCCAGTGCTTATTGCATCCTCGCAGGATTTATCATCTGGTGCCATGATTTGGGGATCCCTCAGAATGTGGACTTGTTCCTATTCCATTATAGATATGAGCCGTACTGGACCACTAGGTACCTATGACTGACTGCTCGTCCCTTCCGTCAGCTTTTCAAAAAGAACCCTGTGCCTCCTGAGAAATGGCAGGAGCATTTTTTGTTTGTTCACGTGGGTGCACCGCTTCCATTCCCTGACCTGTGGAACTCGTACCCCGTTCGGGACAAGGAGCCAGTTCTGGATGTCATTCTACAAAACCAGACTGAGTCGCTGCATCTGGCGGGCTCACAAAACATACAGGCTTATGTTACGCCCGCTAAGATGCTTGCTACCAGCATCGTTACTTACTATTTTAAGTTGTCGTTCGGCGCTTTGCTTTGTGTTGTGGCCTTCTGACCATCCTTTTTGTGCAGGTGTGATCCCGTCCAGAAACGACTCGAAAGAGATCCTGTCCGGATGATGTGGTGGATTTGTCCGGTTCTGATCCGGTTAAGCCAAGAATGGGTGCTCCCCCTTCCTCTTCCAGCAAGATCGTGCCCGCTTCCACCAATGCCGAGACTTCCGATCAACTGGAATTCTCTGTTAGAGGTCCTCAATTAGAGAGTAAAACCCTCTTCGGGCAGACGACCACCTCGTTGTGGTGCTCGATGGCCCTGAAGGTCTTGCCCAGCTTCACCCATCTGACCCACTGACATGATCTGATCGAGGCAGGTCATCTAGAGAACATCAAGGTATTTTTTAATTTTTGATTCATCCTCTCTTTAGACAATTTTATTCCCATTTCTCATATTGTGACACCTCCCCTAGGTCAGGGTTTACTATCACAAGGCATTTCTTGCGGCTTATCGAGATATGGCACACATGGCCCGAGAGCTGGAGGAGGCTCAAACCCTTCTGGAGGCTGCTCGTAAGATGGCTGCCGATCTGCAGGATCAGGCAACCAAAAGGAACAAGGCTGCAGCCGATCTTGCTGAGAGTGAACAGAGAGTCCAACGGCGCGATCGGGAGATCAGCTTCCTCAAAGCCAAACTTAAGGCTGTTGAAGATGCCGGGATGAAAGTCCGAACGGCCAAGGAGAAGAATAGCCCTACCACCTTTTCTGTTGATGCCTCAAAGCTTACGCAACAGGCGGTTATTGACTCCCAGCGAGGTAAGGGTCTGAACATCGCGCTGGAAAACACCGCTCGGGAGTTTCTTGCTCCACGTCTTGTTCAGTTCCTTCGGTCCAGTGAAGATCCCTTGAAGGCTGGGATAGATCTCCTAGACAAGACTCTCGAGGGGAAAGCGTTTGTGGAGGCCCTCGCTGATGACACACTTATTCAGAGCATGGACATCATTGTTGATCAGAATATCGATCTGATCATGAAGCATTTCCCAAATCCGTTCGATCCTGAGGTCCTGGGCTTCTCCAAGTGTTTTATCAACAGTTTCGAATGGGTTATGGAAGAGCGCGCCGATCGAGCCAATGAGGCAGCAGGTGGTGGAGAGTTTAGTTCCAAACCAGATTCTTCCAAGGCCAATTAAGCATAGGTCTCCCTCGTAATTTGTACTTAGGATTTTTTTCACCTTCTGTACATTCTGGACAGTAGCTCTGAAGAATACAAAGATCTCATTTATCTGTTTGTGCAAGTTTACTTGTCTTATGTTCTCTCGGCAAATGATGTTTAGTTGTGCCTGTTATCGCAACTATATGTCGATCGGTCGATACATGTCATCTTCCAAACCATAGTTTCGATTCCACCGTTCATATTTTTTCGATACGGATCGTCCATACTGGTGGTTGAGCTATCCTCATTTCCAAGCTAACACGTAAGCTTCCCCGTTCGGTCTTCCGGAATGGTTCATTCATTCGTGGAGCCGAACGACGACTTGCCTCCAAAATCAGAGCTGGGATTCCACCATTCGATCTAGTCATCGTGGCTTGTTGGCCCTCTGAACTAGTCGTCGTGGTTCGTCGAAGCTAATGATTGAGGCAAGATTTCAAACCATAGTTTTGATTCCACCGTTCGTATTTTTTTGATACGAATCGTCCATACTGTTGGTTGAGCTGCCCTCATTTCCAAGCTAACACGTAAGCTTCCTCGTTCGGTCTTCCGGAATGGTTCATTCATTCATGGAGCCGAACGGCGACTTGCCTCCAAAATAAGAGCTGGGATTCCACCCTTCGATCTAGTCATCGTGGCTCGTTGGCCCTCCGAAATAGTCATCGTGGTTCGTCGAAGCTAATGATTGAGGCAAGATTTCAAACCATAGTTTCGATTCCCCCGTTCGATCCATCTGGCTTGGACCAGTCTGTTCGTCGAAGCTAATGATTGAGGCAGGATACTCATGTCTCCATCTTCTTTCTTCGTCACCAGGTTCCTCCACAACCGCTGCTACCACCAGTCACTGCTTCACTTCACCGGTACGCCCTCACTGTCACTGCATCAGGTTAATCCTTCTTCTTCCTCCTCCTCCTCCTCCTCCTCCTCCTCCTCGTTCTTCTTCTTCCTCTTCACTGTCCTTTGTTCTCTGTTTTCATCTTCTTTTGATTTTTTATTTTAATCAATGATTTTGCTTCACTTTTTCAGATTCTAAATTGAACATTTTATGTTTTAGATCTGCAAAATTGGGATACAAAAATGTAAGGCTTCAATGTTTTAGATCCTAACTTTATATATGAATAATGCCATTTATATAAATGTCTTTGCCTTTATCAAGAAGACACTACTAGTTATTTTGAAAAACAATATTTATAGTGTCATGTTCTTAAATCTGAAATGTCATATTGACAAATAATGTCATTTTCATGGTACTAATTTTTATCAAGATGGCAATATCATTTTTTATTTTATAATTTTTCTTCTTTTCAATATGGCATTTTTATTTATCTGTTAATGCCATAATTCAAATGAAAATGCCATTTTTCTTCAACGTAGAAAGTCATAATTGTGCATCTCGAAGTGCCATGAATTTTTATACCAATTTTTTTTAGTTTGGCACTATGTGTCCTTTTTGTTTTTACTTAGATGGTAATATTAAAATTGTAGTGTAATTAGTTTTGTACTCTGTATTTTATTGTTAGAATGAATGTGTAATGGTTTTGATTGTATTTGGATTTCACTGGACTTCAAGTTGAATTGCTGAAGGAAACCTATCAGATTGTAATTGAATTTCATCAGAATTCTAGTTGAATCGCTAAAGGAGATTGATGGCAAATGTGGTCTTGCCGGAGGATAAGGCGTCACCGCCATTCTCGCCGGAGGACACGACGGCGGTGGCGGTGCCGCTGTGGGATGTAGCAGCTGCAGATGTCGTGTTGTGTCACTGGCGTTGCACAAGGTGAGATGTTGATTGAGGCATATGAAGACTTTTGATTTAATCTATATACGGAGTATTTTATTAAATATTTCATTAAGAGCAATTCAGTCAAGTGAGATCTTTTTTACTCCCATCAAACATCTAGGGTTCAGTTCAATTTTTTGAATTGGTTTTGCGTTGCAATTTGTTTTTCTTGTATTTTAGATTTTGTGGATTCGGATTTCGGTATTCGGGTTCACGGACCACCCCTGCGGCCCTACCGACTCTACTATTGCAAATTAACGCGTGAGCTGTCTCTTGAAGTCCGCGCGCGACCTACGCAGAACCCCGTCTGCTTCCAAAACTTTCCTTCTCAGGTTAATCGGAAGTACTGTAGAAGACATTTCACAACGCACAGTCCTCCAAAGTCACCTACCCTCCTCCGTTCTACCCATCCCTCCCCATTCATCGCCAATCCCGACCTTTTCACTGAGGAGAGGTATATGTTGATTGGTTTTCTAAATAAAAAGGAGAATGTATGAGTTTGGAGAAGAGTTGCTGATTGAAAGCTACAAGGTACCATGGCTAATTTGGATTCAGCTTCTTGTAATGGTCCTGCTCCTTCTTCTGCTCTTCTTTGGCTTCAGCGTTTTCACTTCCGATCTTTCCAATAACTCCGCTTCCACTTCTGGCGCCGGTGGGTCTTCGTTTTCGGCCGGAAGCGACAGCGGATTTCTTGACGGAAGGCAGCCTCACCGTACCGACCAGGTTCGAGAAATTCGACTTTTTTTAGCTAAAAATTTTCAGTCTTCAGACCGCCACTGATATTTCAGATTCTAGTGTTTCCTTCGTCTGTAATTCATATTAAAATTGATAAAATTTCATGGCCTGCTAGCAATTGCTTGTAACTATATGTTATCGAGAAGTTATATGCGTCTCCTGCTGGTAATAATTAGCTTGGTAAATTATGGTCAGGAGAAAATGTATAAATAAAATGCATTAGGGTTTCGGTTGTTACTTGCTAGAGAATCTGCGCATCATAAGTGTCTATAGCTAGTTGAGACCCTCTCATATTTGCACGCAGAGTGAACAGGGTAATCACCCTGATAATTGATTTTTTCATATATTTAAATTATGATCTGTAATTCAATGAGATATTCAATTTTCACCCATCCATGATAAGCTGGTTTTCACTTCACCATTTCAGATAGAACGAATGTGATCTATCTGTATATTCAAAAATTGTAGTTTCTGTTTTGAACTCAGAGTCCCAATGGTTAGATATGTGCCATTGCAAAACTAAGTAGGGCTAATTACCTAAATACGGAGTATGATTTAAACACATTCTTCAAGTGTCATTTTCCTATTGTAATGCCTTTAACATTTGAGAGCTATGCTACTTCCATATTTTAATTAAAAGTTTAAATCATGACAGAAGAATCTATGATTAGGTTTGTTGGTCCAGCATTTTTTTATTTCTTCTTATTATTATTAGTATATTAATATTGAGTTTTCTTCTGGTTGGAGAAGATGGATGAGAAAGTATTGGATTGCAGGGGCAGGATGGGAACCATTGTAACGGGGGAGGTGTTGAATCAAGTATAAGCACAGACATCATAAGAAGAGAAGAAAGGGATAATGGATCTTCATGTGTAAAAGATGAACTCCACCATTCAAGGCCTCCCGGGCATCCATGTCACTTTCTTGGAGTAGCTAAGCAAGCTTTCCTGAAGTGCTTGGGCCTGGATTCCTGGTCTGAAAGTCCTAACAATAGAAAACATGGGAAAGAAGACTAATGTGTGTGCCATCCCCTTCTCCCTCCCTCTCTCTCTCTCTCTCTCTCTCTCTCTCTCCAGTACCATGGCCCAAGCTGCAAACTTCCCACTTTGAACACTTTGGCTATGTTTAGTTTTACCTTGAAGTTTTGAAGAATTATTAAATTTGATCAAGAGTATATTTGGATTCTGTAAAATGCTAGGGAAAGGAAAACAAATGGATTCTGTTTGAATTTTTACCTTAATAGTTTAAAAAACGAATATGATTGACTTGATTGCCATATATTTAGATCTCCTAATCTTCAAATAATAGAGAAGTATAAATAAATAAAATGTACTTGAATCAGTATTTAAAATGACTTTTTCAAGTTTGATCTTATATTTATTCTCCCATATTTTCTTCCCTTGCTGTATTCATCTCTACTTCCCCCAAATTGTCAGGGTCCAAATATACCTTAAACAGTTTTACAGTATTACACATATTTATATTTCTTTTTCCTTATATAACAGAAATATCATTTTTTAAATTAGTTTGGACAAACATTAAATATTTGGTTTATTGAGTTTGAACACTTCTCCCCTCCAAATATCTTTTTCTGCCAAATTTTCTCATATATTTTCCCATCTGTTTTCTTCCGCTAGCATTTTCTGTGTTCAAAACAGACCATTGTGTTTGAATGATAGCTTCCTGTGAACTTGACTTGAGTGAGCTTTTAACTGTTCTGCAGGTAATTATCTATGGCACAAAATGATCAATAAGGAGAACCAGATGGCCCTCTTAATGCTGATGCTGATCACTATTTCCTTGACAGCCTGAATTCAAACCCTTTATATGTATGTACTGAATTACATCTCGACTCCTTCACCTGCAACTGTAAGTTTACATACTAAGTAGTATGTAACAAGCAACCACTGTATATTTTACATTGTACAATTTGTCTAACTACTCAGCTAATGATTCGCAAACCATCAAATGTCATTTTATTTGGTTCTATTCAATTATTCATTGATGTTTACATAAGATCATCTGGCAGTTACCAATTACCACTTACCACTGTACTGATGTGTGTATTCTATTATATATTTCCAACAACCATGTTTCAGGTTTATGTCTTTCTTGATGTCAACGAATGGTTTTGTTAAGGCATAACAATGGGTCAGGTAGGGAGGGGCAAGCAGTGCAAAACCCAGACCACCTCGTGATCCGCAATAGGGTGGCCCATGACAAATGCCCTGTGCAAGGCGGTTTGCGGTGCCCCAACTCAATTAGCTTGTACATACTCCCTCCGCCCCGAAATTAATTTCCCACTTTTTTTCTGGCAGTCCCGAAATTAACTTCCTACTTCCTTATTTGACAAATTATCTACATCAAAACAGTGCAAAACAATGTCAAACAGTGTTAAACAATGTCAAAACAGTAAAAATTTACCTCCCAGTAAGTTTATTTCCTTAATATGTGTGAAATCCAAGTGAGAAGTTAATTTCAGGATGGGGGAGTATTATTTATGTGTGTGGATTCATCATTAACTGAAGTTGACATAAAGCTTATCACCGAATTATGTTATCAGAGAACAAATTTAACAAACCATAGTCAAATTACAACAAAAGTGTCAAAATAAGGAAAAACAACGTATACTTGATAACTTGAATACTTAATCTATCTATATTACTAAAACAAATATATAAATCCTCAATATAAAAAAGGCGTTCAGCCATTGACCATTAACTACCCATTTGGCTCCTTATTTAAATCAAACAAGACGGATGAACTTATGATATACTATCCTCCGCTCCATTTTAATCGTAACATACTGAATTTTACATTATTCACATTCTCTACTTTGATTACATTTTACGCTATTATTTTATGAAAATTATTTTTTAAAAAAAATATTGTTCAATTTATCTCATTACAAATTTTCAAAATCTGATTTTTAATATATTTTTACTAATAGAATTAAGATATAATTATTGTCAAAGACATGTATTGACAAATGTGAAATGTTAACCGTTGCAGCTAAAAAAAACGGAGAGAGTACTATATTGATATATAGAGTAATGAATAATGATCATGTCCAACCTAATGGACATTTGTCCAACTGCCGCCGTTAGGGTTGGTTCTTGAAGTAATTTGAGTATGCTCTTCACGAAATGTAGATTATGTCTACAAAATGTCAGTTTCAAATTACATCGTGAAGTTAGTTAAATAAATTGTTATAAAATATTGTGTCAAAAACTTTCATCAAAAAATTCCATCGGTAATCAATTAAACGATACTGGCTGGACGAAAGATCCTGTTTGACCAGTTGGACATTATCTTTTTCGTGCACATATTATATATATATATATATATATATATATATATATATATATATATATATATATATATAGAGAGAGAGAGAGAGAGAGAGTCATTCTCCTGTCCAATAGCTTTCCGTCTGAACACCGCCGTTTGGGGTGGTTCCCGGTGGAATTTTTTGTTGAATTTTTTTGAGCATGTTCCTCATCAAGTCTAGTTTATCCGTAACAAATTTCAACTTAAAATTTGATCGGGAAGGGAGTCAAATAATTTGTTGAAGTTAACTGCGCAAAATTGTACATAGAAAAAACGCAGTCAACTTCAAAAAATGATTTGAATGCCTTCCCGAACGAATTTTGAGCTGAAATTTTTTGTGCATAAACTAGACTTGATGAAGAACATACCATAAAACTTTCATCAAAAAATTCGACCTGGAACCGACCCATATATATAGGGAGCGGTTCTAATGAGAACACATCTTATTGTGAGAAATGAGAACAAATCCTAACCGACCATCTTATAAATGAACGGGTATTACGAAATTGGTGCATAATACAAAGATGCACTTTTTCACATAGTAAATTGTCTATTAGAATCGGAAATATGAGCGTTGAAATAATAAAGGGTGAAATGGTAACTTACAAAACAGATTCCTTTTATGAGTAGCACTTTTGTGTGCTGCTTCCATTTAATGTGGCGGTTAGAGGACCATTTTCCCAAAGGATACGTTAAAATAATAAGGATACAAATTATATAATATGTTTTTAGTTTAAATTTGATTTAACTTATTAAATTATATTCCAATTTTATAAAAAGTTATATCAAATTAAATAACTTTTCATGATCTTTCATATGACACTAATATTGCATATATAATTGTTTTTTTAAATAAGCACAATAGGTATACAATAAACTACAACAACCATCTCCTCCTACCACACACAAGAACGTATATTAAACACCCAACTATCAATATTTAATGCACGCGATAAATAGTATCGCACACATGATTTGTATTTAAAAGCACCATAACAAGTATATCAATCACAAAAAACAATATCCAATGCACAAAAATTAAGGACTAATATCTAACACACAAGGATTTCATATAGTACACATGATCTAGTATCTAAAGCACAATATGTATATGCGTTAGAAAACTCATATCTAGCACACAATATGGACATAAAGAATCACAACAAGTATGTCATACACAAAAACTGGTATCTAACATACAACCCCGAATATTGAATGCACATGAACTTGTATATCACACACAACTCATTTATGTAATACACATTGACTTGTATCTAACTTCACATTTCGTATATAACATAAAAATGAAAATACATGTTAAAAAATACTATTATAATATGGTGAATAACAATTAAGGAGACATGATTGAAGAGATAAATGAATAAAAAGGGAATGCTATTCTTTTTTCGTTTTTCATAAATTGAAAAGTGAGAAACAAGATATCGATTCTTTCAAAAGTGAAAAGTAGGAAACAAAATTACAAAATTAATATGACAGGCGATCTATTCTTTCCATCCCCAAATATGTGGAACACATTAACTGCAAGATACGTTAATTAAACTGTCAATAAGGAATAATACGTAAATGCCCTCTAATGCCATTTACTTCATTGCAGACCGACATATATTTTGGATGACAGGGATATGTTCTCACGTTAAAGACTAGTTCCCATTTGAACCAATATATATATATAGCAGTTTCATATTTACATTATTTGCATTGCATATTGCATATTGAAATTCAAAAAGTGTATCATTACATTATTTGTACTGCATATTGAAGTTCAAAGTGATGCATATTATTGAGTTTGTAGATAAATATTATAAGCATGGTTAGGAGAGAAATAAGAATGAATCTGGACCGTTAGATTTGCTTTAAGTGAAATTCAGTGCATTAGATGAAACTGTAATGTGCATTAGATGAAATTGAAATGTGCAACACAAAAGACACGATGTAGAGACATTATGTAACATTGAATTGTGCATTAGGTGAAATTGCAATGTGCACTAGGTGAAACTGAAATGTGCAGAATAAAAGGTACGATGTGATGTTATTTTTGTACCTTTTATTTCACACATTTCAGTTTCACTTAATGCACACTTGAGTTTAAATTTTTATTCTGCACATTTCAATATCATCTAATGCACATTTCAGTTTCATCAAATGCACAATTCAGTTCCACATAATACAATCCAACGGTCCAGATTCATTCCCATTTCTCTCCTGTGAGTTCGTTCTTACCGGAACCGCTCTATATATATTATATACATAGGAGTGAGATCACATACAAACCATGCTTAACTTACTAACCTACAAACTCAATGATATGCAACACTTTGAACTTCAATATGCACTACAAATAATATAAAGATGCACTCTTTGAATTTCAATATGCAATACAAATAATGTAAATATGAAACTGTTATTTTATGGCTTGAATAATATGAAACACTTTGAACTTCAATGTGCAATACAAATAATGTAAAGATTATTTGAATGGGAGGACTAGTTTGTATGTGATCCCACCCCTGCAGCTTTACATTATTTTTACTGCATATTGAAGTTTAAAGTGATGCATATTATTGAGTTTGTAGGTTAGTATTTTAAGCATGATTTGTATTTGATCTCTTATATATATATATAGGTTTTGGTTCAAATAAGAACATGATCTTAGGAGAGAAATAAGAATGAATCTGGACTGTTAGATTTGTTTTAAGTGAATCTCGATGTGCATTAGATGAAATTGTAATGTGCATTAGGTGAAATTGATATGTGTCACACAAATGGTACGATACAGTGGTATTATGTGAAGCTGAATTGTGCATTAGATGAAATTGAAATGTACGCTAGGTGAAACTGAAATGTGCAGAATAAAAGATACGATGTAATGTTATTTTTGTACCTTTTATTCCGCACATTTCAGTTTCATCTAATGTACACCTGAGTTTAGATTTTTATTCAGCACATTTCAATATCATCTAATGCACATTTCAGTTTCATCAAATGCACAATTCAGTTCCACATAATACAATCCAACGGTCCAGATTCATTCTCAGTTCTCTCCTGGAGTAATCAGGGCTGAAACTCACTCCATTGAGTTTCAAACCCGAGATCTCCCGTAAGGGAGAGTGAGTCGGTGACCAGCTGGGCTAGACCGCTTCCACACACACACACACACACACACACACACACACACACACACATATATATATATATATATATATATATATATATATATAGGGTAAGGATCAAATGAGAATACCATATTAGGAGAGAAATGAGAATGATTCTGGAGCATTGGATTTGAGCATTGTGCATCATGTAAAACGGAAACGTGCATATAAAAAATTGGAAAATGTGCATTCCGTCTGTGAAAAATTTTAAACGTAAATGTGCACATTAGAATTTTGCATTACTTTAACTATAAATGTGCAGTTTTGTGAAGGATAAAGTGCATCATTTTGGAGTGTTCTCATTTCTCACGTTAAGGAGTGTTCTCACCGGAACTGCACCCTATATAGGGTAAGGATCAAATGAGAATACCATCTTAGGAGAGAAATGAGAATGATTCTGGAGCATTGGATTTCACCATTGTGCATCATGTAAAACAGAAACGTGCATATAAAAAATTGGAAAATGTGCATTCCGTCTGTGCAAAATTTTAAACGTAAATGTGCACATTAGAATTTTGCATTACTTTAACTATAAATGTGCAGTTTTGTGAAGGATAAAGTGCATCATTTTGGAGTGTTCTCATTTCTCACGTTAAGGAGTGTTCTCACCGGAACTGCACCCTATTATATATATAGAATAAGGATCAAATGAGAAGAGTGCTTATCGTAGGAAGTGAGAATGCATCTGGTGCGTTCATTTTAAGATCTGTGCATCAGATTAGCAAAAAAGTGCACGGGAAAGTGCAAAAACTATTAAAAAGTGATGCTAGACGCGGTGGCATATCCGTAATTAATCGGAACTTTTCTGCGATCGCAAAAAGTGCATCAGATTAGCGAAAAAGTGCATCAGAAAGAGAAAAATGTGAAGCTTCTCACTTCTCACGTTAAGATGTCTTCTTATTAGAACTCAACCATATATATATATATATATATATATATATGGGTGAGTTCTAATACAAATGAGTCTTCCCATGAAAAGTAAGAAGTGATCTCAGCCCTTATCAATTA